TGTTTTCGTGATCTGCGTTACCTCTTATCTGAGGCTCAATTGACACCTCCCAGAAGACCATACGGGGGCGGGGGGGGCTCTGTGTGTGTGTGATGTTCTCCTTCCAGCTGGGGCCGTTGTGTCTATTTAAGACCTGGTGTAGGAGCGTGGTGTGTGAGGACTTGCATTCCATACGATGGTTTTGGATGTCTGTTGAAACGTGCTTTAGGCAAGGCTGTTAAATTGTGTTCTGGATAGCCCTCTTTGCCCAAGGAGGGTGCCTGCCACGTTGAACGATAACGCTCAGATAACACCATACCTGAGCCTAGAGATGAGATCATTCATCACCTGATTTCACTGATCCTTTGGTATCCTATTCCCTATATACTTCTTCTAAAATACACTCGTAGTTATGCATGATACTTCTCTGCTCTATGTTATTGTGTTCTTATTAGTTAAAACTAGCACATTTAAACACACCTCTACACATCTTCTGTTTATACAGAAGAAATCACAGGAACTTTATTTATAAAAAAATATTTATACTGTATTTATACTTCAGCAGTCCTCCCCTGATGGATTGCGTGTGTCTTTTAGTTTATGTGCATTTTCATGTTTACTCCCTGTTCTAGCTTTTTGTCCCCAGCTTTCCTCATAGCTAATTAGGGCCAATTTCTGTAATTTTGCTACCTTGTTCTTGAAGCACTCAGGAGGGCTATTTTGTTTTTAGAATTGCCTTCAAGCTGACCTAATTCTTGCCAAAAAATACATTTTATCACTCTTTCTGTTTTGTAAGTGTTTGGAGTCAGTATTTCACAATGGGCTTAAGTCCCTGACAGGGCACTCCTCCTCCATTTTCCTCTTGGCTGCCTGCTCCCAACTTTTTCAGTGGCTGTAGCGATCGCACAGTCGATGGTAACGGCTTGTTTGCTCTTCGTGAGGTGAAGAGTCAGTTGGATCCGTGTCCTCGCAGCCAGCAGCCAGAGCCAGCGCAAGGGCCGCGGCAGGAGCCATGGCTCAGAGGCAGCGCTTGTTGCAGGCCAGCCGGAGGCGGCTGCACCCTGATCCCCCAATTCCCTGAAGTGGCACCAGGAGGTAAGCAGGGGTGCGGAGGGTGCCTGCCTGTCCGTGTCAAGCCCTTCATGTAAGGGCCTTGCACGAACTTGTCTGAGCCATGCAATGCGTTGGGGGTTATAGGATGGTAGATTTGGGCCAAGCTCGTGTCTTAGGAGGCAGAAGCATGCGTGAGCTTAAGCTTTTTTTTGTCCGCTGTACCCTGAGGTGGGTCAAAGCCTCCGAGTGGTTTGGGTGGGTGCGCGTGGGGGACGGTGTCTGGGACAAATAACGCGTGTTTGAGATCACAGGATGAGCGGGGCAGGTTGTGAGCAAGCCTGTTTGCTGCACTGCATGGGGGACCTGGCATAGCGAGAGTCCAGGCTGCCTGCAGACTTTCTGTCCTACCCAGGATGGTCAGTGCAGCATTTTTAGCTGTTATCCCTTTGATTTATACTATAAACAAGTTGCAGTGGTTGGTGTTTACCCTGTCGGGGAAAGTAAGTACATGTCTGAAGGAAGTGTGAACGATCCTTCTATTTCTGTGTGGACTGTTAGTGTTCTGTCAGCTTTTCCATTGTAGCTCCAGAGTGCTTCCCCCGTCTCTCCTGCTTGAATGCCGCTTATGAAAAACAAAACACGTTAACTGGATTTGTTTGTTTGGGGTGGTCTTTTTTATTTTTGCTTCCTGCTGGTCAGCAGTTCCACAGCAGTAAGTGAATGGGACACAGTAGGTTCCCTCTGTACCTTCCAGCAGAGGAGACAGTCTGAGAGATTTGTTTTCAGCCTCTTCTGCTACAGGACCATTTTCTTTTTCCCAAAACTTAAGGTTTTTATTTGTTGTTAAATCTCCTCATTTCTCCAGCAGCTGTCTTCCTTGAACCATAAGTGCTGTGTTTAACATGGCCATAACACTGTAATAACTGTCGGCACTTGCCAGGCGTAAGAAGGGGTTTCTGCGAAGATAACCACTTGGTGCAAGTAGGAGAGAACGTACAATAATGCAGATGTGGTTTGCGTGTGGGGTAGGATGATCCGCATACATGTGCTGTTCTTCTACCACCAGCTGCAGAAATGACTGCTGGCCCCTTCTGCTAGATTTTCTCCTGACCCAGCCACTTTACTTTGTGGTCCTTGGGGTGTACAAGTCTCAGGGGGCTGCATTTTGTGCCTGAGAGGCTTTAATTTAATATTTAGGGGCAACTGTTCTCTCCTGGCCTTGCTCACTGCAGCAGCTTGACAGAAAAGCATGAATTCTTGTAAATTGTTTATGGATCTTTTCCATCCCTAAAAAAAAACCCCAAAACCAAACTATTAAAATAAACATGCTAGGAGCTGTAATAAGAGGAGTTTGTTATCTCTCTGAAGTTGTGGCCTGATGCTGTCAGTGGAGCTGTCAGTGGGGCTGTCTGGAGAGATGGAGTCAGCTCTCTGCTGAGCAATTTGATGGGCTGGGATATGTTGGTGTATATGTTACCCACTTTCGTGAAGAAATTCACATCCTGATGTTTGATGGGATCACTGGGGAAAAGAACAAGGACAGCTAAAACCGCCCCCAAGCTGGGGAACAGGAATTCAGCTGGTGGAACCGTACCCAAGGATACGGCTCTTGAGTCAGAGAAACCTGCTGTGCAGCCTGGAAATGTAAAAACTATCTGGCTGTGTCAGGAGATCGTGCTTCCAGGGATCAATTACTGCTTTTTAATTACTGCTTTCCCCCCTACAACTCCTTCTTGCTAATCTTTTGTATTTAGGTTTGCATTGATGGTTAATCAGATTTCAGAGCAGCAGGTGGTTTCCATCTGCCAGGTGAGGCTGGGTTTGCACGGGCCAAGCTGAAAAGGGCACCGTCAGCTGTTTGTCTTGGCAGTAGGTGACCACCTTGGTTTTGTGTGACGGCACAGGTAAGACGCTTGAAAACAAAGTCCCTTTCTCCAATAGCCCGTGTCAGTGTCTAGGAGAGCAGCAGGCAGGATGCATCTGGCTTGCACCTCCTCCCTCGCTGCCCCAGCCCTATTTTCGGTGGCACAGCTGAGCTCAGGGGACAGGTGATGTTCTAAGAGTCGACAGTCAGAATTCTCTTTCTTTCATCGTTGCTTATCTTTTCCAACTCTTCAGATACATTTATTTCTCAGTAATTTCAATGGAATAATTGTGAGAAATGCAAAGGACAATTTTACAGTCTTAGTAATAGCCTAAATGAGGCTACGCCATCGCTGCAGAACCGCCGTGGCTTTCACCATAAAACACCTCCCTCTGAACTGATACGTGACTCAAACCGGGTGTTGCTGCTTAATTGGTGTCAGCAGCTGGAGAAGCGCCGTGCAGATTCTGCAGGTTCCTCTCCGCTGTGGCAGACTGTTTCCTTAGTCTGTTGTTATATTAATTACTGACCACATCTACAATGCCCAATTCCTACCACGCCAGAATTCTTCTTAATCTACCCTTAAGAGCGTCCTGGTGGGAAGCGTGTACAAACCTGAACACATCCCAGGCGCAGGGGGGCCCTTGCTGGGATTCGGAGCGTAGCTCTCCTGCTGGCTGTGGACCAGTGAGATACTAGTGCGCACGTTTATTTCTGCATGAAAATTCCCTAATATTTAAATGATAATTGTGATACTAATAAAACTTTAAAGGAAAACCTGAGATGTGAATTTTGTATGTTGTGGGTTTGGTTTTTATCCTTCAGTGCTTTTCAACTTATCAAGGGATACATAAAACAAAGTAAAGTAAAAATAAAGTGTTTTTACTTAGAATGGTCACAAACAGTTTAAGTAAGCTGTCTCCAGCAAGCAGTGGTAGCAGAACAATCCCTTAATAAATCTTAGAAATGAAGTATATATTTATTGGCCTTAAATTTCCAGATGAATCAAATAGGCATTCAAAATTTAAATTGTGTGATTAGTCTCCTTAGGGGAGAGTGTGGGAATCCTGAGAAATGCAAGGACTCAGTCAGAACCATACTTTAAAGGTGAGCCTGTATTTAGTAGAGCGGTGCAATGAATCCGTTTTGAAACATACTGTTCTTTGCTGGGAGTGAACTACTTGGATCTTCACACTTCTCACATAAACAAAGGGAATCAGTCTTTGCAGGTTTGAAAATTCGGTAAAGGATCAGTTGCAGTTTTGCTTAATACGGTGTTAATTTGATGTTTAATCTCTTTTCTGACTACATTACTGTTAAGTGAATGGGGTCTGCTAGACAAACCCAGGCTTTAGATTCCAGCTTGTGCCAGAACGGCTCCTCTTGTGCGCACGCGTGTGTCCGATCTGGTTGTCTGTCCCGGGTGCCCCCTCCAAATGGTTGAGGTGAGAGGAGGGGACTTTTCTTTCAAAAGAACTTTTAAGCGTAGGCGTTCAACTATCGCAGTTATTTATGCTGACTGGCTACGTGGAAGCTGGAATATAAAAGGTTGGGTAACAATTTCATTACATGAAAAGCTGGGCCTGCAAGAAAGCTGGCGAGGCACTTTTTGCAAGGGCGTGTAGCGATAGGCCAAGGGCTTTGAATTGAAAGAGGGTGAATTTAGGTTACGTATCAGGAAGAAACTCTGCACTGTGAGGGCAGTGAGGCACTGACACAGGTTGCCCGGAGAAGCTGTGGATGCCCCATCCCTGGAAGTGTTCAAGGCCAGGTTGGACGGGGCTTTGAGCAACCTGGTCAGTGGGAGGTGTCCCTGCCCATGGCAGGGGGGTGGAACTGCGTGATCTTTAAGGTCCCCCCCAACCCAAACCATTCTCTGATGCTTTATATGATGCTTTATAACAACTGGTATTCAGCTTTATAAATGAGCTGTTCTCTTCTGTATGGCAGAAAAAGGCTTATATAGTTGGCAGCTGCTTGTAATATCCTAAGCGTTATTAAAGTAAGCTGTAGTTGTCATACAGTGCTCATTATAATGGCGAGTCGTTTTACATTAATAAGTGTTGGAGGAGGATATTATTTCAGAATGTGTATTTGTACACGGATGGAACTGGAGTCTTTTCACCCAGATCAGAATGGCATTCACCGAAAAGGCCGCTGGACCACCATCCGAGTGAGTTCTTCATGAGTAATAAAGTAGCGAGAAGAGAAAATTTCATACAATTCAGCAGTGATTTTGCAAAATAAACCCCAAAAGCATGATTTTTTTTTTCCTCTCACCTCCTGACTTTTACATCTATAAACTGAAGTTGTTCTTGTCTAGATTAGTTAGTTGGCTTCCTGCTAAGCATCTCGCCTTACAAGTGAGAAAACTGGGAAGCAGCAGGGCTGAAAGATCCGTATAGTGACGACGAGCGTTGTCATCGGCAGTGACGTCGCAAGGCTGTCAGAGCTGCAGGAAGGCCAGGCCGCTGTTCAGATCAGTGCTTGAGGACCGGTGAGCAGGAAGACGTACGTGGCCCCGATGCAGCTGTATGTGAACCAGTGCAGCTGCTTTCAGACAACACGTTTCAAGAAAGACGTTTGCATATCGAAGGGATTTCAAAAAAGAGCTCTGGGGATGGCTGGGGAAATTCAAATTGAACTGTTATACTTGCATTAATTAATTAGGCAGCAACTGCAAGGAGTGTAAGCGCTATACCTACTGGTATTTAAAAAAATGTAAAAAAGACTTGGGATAAACATAGCTAGGAAGACGTTTGTCTCCTTTGTTGGACTGAATGAACAGATACGCTGTTGATCTGGTATTAAAATGCAAACAGATATCCCCAGGTGAGAGAGACTGAGAGCATTGGATTAGGTGAGGAAGGAATTTAGAGATGGAAACTGAGCAAAGCGGTCAATACTGGAAAGCAGGTGGCTGTAGACAGGATCTCAGGACAGCAATGAAGCTTCAACCTCTGGAACTATTAAATGTTATGAATTATTCTGCTCACCTTTGACCTTCCTGAAAGGATAATTTATGCAGGTTAGTGCAATTATTAAAAACAACAAACAAACAAGCCCTGATAACATACTGCTGATATGTGGTGTAGAGGGATCTTAAAATAATCTTTATCCAGGGATTAAGAGTTTCTGATCTACCACTGACCTGTTTCCAGAGTATTACAAATTCATTGCACTTGCAAAAACAAGATGAAAATGCTGTAAAACAAGAGAAAAGCAGATTTATAGCAGCATAAGTAACCGAGATAAGTTGCATTGATGAGAAGACTTCAAACTAAAAATTGTGCTTGATGAAAACCTTTTTCTAGGCAAGAACCCAAAGTGTGCTTGGGAATCTGCGTGCAGAAACAGAGTGTCTGGGCCTTTTAAGCCATGTGCGGAAAATGTTTATTTTCATTAGAAGTGAATGGGGAGCAGCCAGGGTGAGATGCAGACACAAACCTTGCTGTAGTCCTGGACTCTAAATTAATGCTGTTCCTTAAGGGCTGAAGAAACATTAGGAAGGAATTGTTTCTGTGCACAGAAAGCCAGGGAAACTTGTGCTGGCACCACCTACTTTGTGAACAAGAAAAAAGTTGTGTATCTCCAGGACTGTGGCCATCTGAGATGCTTCATCATTATTAAATTCATATGGGAAAAAAAATAATTGATTAAAGCAAATTAAGTGCCAGAAAGTGTGTGTGTGTTTTTTTTTTTTTAATTTCATTGCTTGACACCAATATGTGGTTTTGATTATTTGGTTTGGCCTTTTTTAGTTTTTTTGCATGGAGGAATAGAGTTAACATGAAATTTCATCTTAGTTTGAAATGCCTGACATCTCTATCAAATGATGAATAACATGGACTTTGGCTAAAAGTACAGTATTTTGTAATTTTGCCTGGAAAAAACATTCTTCCATGGTAGATAAGGGAAAAGTGAGACACCAGAGCAATAAATTCATGCTGGTCTTTTGAGTAAAATAATAATTACTTGGGTAATAAAATCTTTTTTCTACAAACGTAAGTTGACTGAAGTCTCGAATCCTCACATCATTATCCGTGAATATCCACGCTGGAGCGAGCAGGACCTTTCCTTAGCGTGGGCTGATAAAAGTAGCCATTGTAACCCGCGGAAGCCTTGCGAAGGGGCGATAAACCCGCAGCGGCAGGGCTGCGCTCTGTCCTTACAGGCGGCTTGAAATTATTGTCGGATGAGCTTAACTTCCGAAAACGCTTCAGAGATTTGGTAGTGGAGAAACCAGAGGATGCGGCGGCGGCGGCTGCGGGCGGGGCCAGCCTGGGTGCGTGTCAGCAGGGCTAGCGGGGCTGGTGGGTGGTGGTCAGGGTCTAGCTGAGGGAGCACGTCGTGCAGTCTGCTCTGTCTCTTACTTTGACCCCCCCTGGGGACACCAAATGTCACTTGAACAAATTAAGCCAGAGAAATCTGGGCTCATATTCTCATGAATAAATACTTCAAAATATTTTTAGAATCATGCAGGTAGAAACATACCTTTTCTTTTTATCTGTTGGAGGGGAGAGGACTCATTTGAAAAAGCCATTGTTGGTGTAACCTATAATTTGACTGTCTGCAACGTGTGCGGCTGTGTTCTTCCATTTTACTGGCACGTTTGTACCCGGTGGACTGCTAGCTCTGTTTGGGCTTTATTAATAGTAATCGAGAGGCGAGATTAAAGTGCCACCAGACAGCGTGTTAAGGAAGTGCACCGGCTCATGAGTATTTAGCGGTCACTCTCTTTTATTTACAGTAATACAATTTATGCATTTTTCACAACAGCTTGGCAGCCACACCAACCCCAATTTTTTTTTTATATTCACAAGTATGAAAATGTCATGGTGAAGGCACCGTTTTCACCCAGAGTTACTTATGTGACAGGAGATTCTTGTCTAGTATGTGAAACTGTAGAAGCCCACAGCTGGCAACTATAAATTCCTGCCATAATTGGTTATGTCAGACATGCGGCGCAGAGTGGCGGCTCTGCTGGGAGGGAACCCGAGACGCGACGCCAAAAGGAGGGGTGTTTCCAGACAGCGCTGGCGGTCGGGAAGGCATTTGTGTATCTGGATTGGGAAGGGAGCCTGGGGGTCCATCAGGCCCCCTCTTCTTCAGGTCTCCGTGGGGAAGACGACACCCACGGGAGAGCGGCAGTAATGGGTTCCCCAAGTCCACAGTCCCTCGATGGTCGCTTGCAGCAAGCGCCTGGAAAGGGCTAGAACCAGGGAATGAATCGCCGTTCTGGTTTGGCCTATTGCAGGCTTAAAAGTTGTGTTAATTTACTGTCCAAAACTTAACTGAAGCAGTCATCGGTTGGGTAGCGTGACTGATTCCACATTTCAGAGTTGTCCCCATGTGATGGTTTTAACTCGCAAGAGATTCTTACTTAGCTATGTAATTTCTGCTGAGGTGAGCCGTTTGCTGTTCTTCCGCTATAGGCGTTCACTATCAGTTGTCACTGCTCCTTTCGGGCGTTTTGAGAATTTCTTGGATCTTTTCTCCTCTTCCTGTTTTGGCCTTGCTTTGTATTTCTGCGTTATCACTTGCGTTATCACTTGCAGCCACGGTTTTGCCCAGGGGAGCTGGGCTAAACGCGGTGGTAGCCGCCCCTCCTGCCCTGCTCAGCACCAGCCGGCGGCAGGCGTGCCCTTAGACTGCTCCTCTCTTTCTGAGACGGGAAGGAGGGTGCATCTCCCTCCAAACGCTAAGTGTTCTGTACGTCTTTGGAACAAATAAAGGAGCTAGCAGTAATGTCTTCTGCTACTGTCCAAAGAACTATAGCAAAGCCTTGGAGGGTGGGAGAAAACGTTACTGATAGTTTGTGGTGTTAAGTGCTCGAAACAAAACCAGGAGCGGGCGCTGCCACGAGCAGATGTATTCAGTGTAGAGGGTCTGCAGCATTTGGGAGGGGAAAAAAATGCCTTATTTTGCTGGTACTACAGGTTGCAGAGCCACCTCCTGAATACTGTTATATCCGACAGGTGATCCCTAGCTTCAGCTGGTGCTTTTCCCTATCAAAACAATTACTAGAGAATACTTTAGAAAATTTAAACCATTAAATGACCTAGAAGAGAGCTGTGATTCTGTGAAATACAGTTTAGAGTAGTCAGGAAATTAATCAAACTTGGAGAACCACTGGCATTTTGTCTTTTCAACTTTTCATAATTCCTCTGAGCTCTGCTAGGAAATCAGGGGGGGAAATCCTAGTGTAGCTAAATTAAGAGAAGACTGTGAATTTCACCCCACAGCCGAGTTGCAAGTGCATGTTAAAAGAAGAACTGCCAGGCAGACTTGTATTTTTGATGAGCGACCCCAGCACGGGCCGGGGGGGAGGCTGCGCGCTCCTCGGGCTGCTTGCCCCCGGCCTTCCAGGAGTCCCGTCTGTCTGTCCACTTGCCATGCTTCCTAGCAGTGAAAGAAGAACCGCTTTATCAGGTTTTACAAGCGCAGCATTTCACGTGTTAAACCCCATATCTGGACTCTGCCAGGTGCTGGTGTCAGCTGAACACTGCACGAGCCCATAGCTGGAGCAGACCAAAAAGCAGAGAGGGGAGAAGAGGGGGACGCAGCTGTGTTCCTGCTGCTAGACATACCTGGAGGTGCCCACGGCGCTCCGTGCCCTGCCAGGACGCGCAGGCTTCAGAAGGTGGCCGCTCCGTCGCGGACC